CTGCCTACCCCAAACCCCTTACGCAAAAAACAAGCAAAAAAGAAAACATGGAGCAAACTATTCCAGCATGCGTACCTCTTCTGCCCTTCCTCCTCCTCCTCCTCCTCCTCCTCCTCCTCCTCCTCCTCCTCCTCCTCCTCCCCCCCTCCTCTTCTTATTCTTAGTGTTATCAGTTTTTGCATTTTAGTGATATTCTTATTAGTAGTAGTCGTCTTCTCAGTCTTCTTAGTATTCTTCATAGTATTAGTAGTTTTCGTCTGGTAGTACTAAGATCATTATTAATAGCATTTTGAATCGTAGCATTAGTCATGTTATTATATTCTTATTAGTCGTATTAGCCTTACTCCTAATACGATCAGGCATAATAGCACTAGGATTCCTCCTCCTCCTCTCCCTCCTTTTCCTCCTCCTTCTCCTCATGCACTCTTCCTCCTCCTTCTCCTGCACTCTTCTTCCTCCTCCTCCTCCTGTCCTCATAACGGACTTCTCCCCGTCGCACCCCCAGACGTGTGGGTAGGGCGGGCTGGGTGTGTTGCCTGAGACCTCTTCGCCAGTGGCAGCCATGAAACTTGACATTTGCAACAGCTCCACGCGTGGAGGGCGGGCCGGTTCGAAATGTGGCTCTCGCCTCGGCGCCGCGCGCACTCGTCTTCAACATTTGCAGAAGTTTCACGGATGGAGGGCGGGCGGTGTTCAAACTGTGACTGTCGCGTTAGCGCCGCGCACATTCGCCTTGAAAGAGTACTTACAACTTACATCAGCGTCACAGATGAAAAGGGGGCGGCTATGCTTCAACATGTGGTTACCGCTGAGCAAGCATTCATTCGCTTAAACAGGTTCAATGGCTCGCATGGTCGAAGCCCCAGAAATGGCATTCTGACAAGATCTAAGATTGTCCGAACGCACCAGCCGCATTGATTCGCGGTGTTGACGTCCCAGGAACGGCATTCTGGCACGATTATAGATTCTCAGGACGTTACAGTCACATTGCTTTACGACTCTGAAGTCCAAGGAGTTGTGTTTTGGCACGACTGGGGATTATGAGGCGGTTGCCCTCTAATTGGGCATGTTCCGCAATGTCAACAAATCCTTGCAGGGCCCTCTGAAGAGGGAGCTTGGAGGGAGGGTTATTGCAACATCGTTGGTAGTTCTGAGGTTTACACTGGTCCTCCTCCTCCTCCTCCTCCCCCTCCTCCTCCTCCTCCTCCTCCTCCTCCTCCTCCTCCTCCCTCCTCCCTCCTCCTCCTCTTCCTCCTCCTCCTTTTTCCTCCTCCTCCTCCTCTCCTCCCCCTCCTCCTCCTCCTCCCCTCCTCCTCCTCCTCCTCCTCCTCCTCCTCCTCCTCCTCCTCCTCCTCCTCCCACCCCTACCCCCGCCATCCCTACCCCAGAACTCCCCGGACCCCGCCCGAGGCTTCCAAAACCATCCAAAACCTTACCCCGCTCCCACCTGCTGCTTCCCTTCCGCCCCCCTCCGCGGGCTCCTCCAGCAGACGCGAATGCCGGGGGGGGGGGGGGGCAGACGCACACGGGCCGCCGGACGGCCTCTGCGCTTCGCTCTTCTCTCGAGGTCCTCCATGGCCTGGGCAGCCGCTTCGCTGTATTCGAGGCCCCAAAATCGTGCGGTGACGGACCGCATGATGACCTCGGAATCCATACCGACCTCACCGCGCGGTCTGTCACCGCACGGCGCTGGGACTTTGGAGGCCCCAGTCGCCCACGACATCCTCGGAGGACGACCCGAGCCCCAACACCGTGCAGTGACCTCAAATCCCCACTGACTCGACACGCAGTGTGGTAAACACACCGTTTGGGGGCCGCCGACGCTTCGCTAGGAAGCTCCCCCTTCCGGGAGGGCGCTGGCGGCGGCGACTGGCACGTCGGCGGCTGCGCCCGCGGCGACCGCGGCGACGGCCACGGCGGTGGCGGCGACGGTGGCAGCGGCAGCGTGGGCGGTGTCGGCGGCCGCATTGGCGGGTGGGCCAGGGGGGGCCGATTGCCGCCCTGGGGGGGTCCGCGAACGCCTGCGGGACAGCCGGGGCGCGGGGGGCACCGAGTTTTCACCCGGCGCCGGTCTCTAGGGCGCCTTGTTCACAGGCGCGCCGCTGAGGCTGCTACTGCTCAAGTTCAGCGCGGTACCGCTGCGGTGCCAACAAGACGCGGCATCACACAAGAGAGCCAACCGTTTTGAAGGAAGACGACTCCAGAGTTCGGATGTTCCACCGACTAGAGAAGCGTCGGCAGCGGCAACAACGCCGCCGTTCAGCGCAAAGCCACCGTTGCTGCGCAGACCCCCCAGGAGGCAACCCCTGCAGACCCCCTAGGAGGCAACTCTTGGGGGGTCTTCGTGACACGATCAGCGGAGACCAGGCCTGGGGGGCCATCAAGCCGGACTGAGCAGGACAGCGCCAAGGATCAAGCCAGACCTCGCGGGACGAAGTCGGATTCGAGCGGCAAGGAGAACTGCCCTGAGACGAGTTTCGACCATGGACATACCAGCGCCGATGCTCAAGTTGGCCTCCCAGGAGTTACAACCCGAGCGTGCGCATGCAGCCGTGCCGCTCCTGCAGGCTCCGCAGCCGCCGAGGCCCGAATCCAGAAGTCCGTCGGCACGCTGCCCAGAGCCAGGCGGAGCATCACCAAAAATACGACACCTCACGTCTCGAGCAGGGCTGGGCCTGCACGTTGTTCTTCGCTTGGGCTTCGTTGTGTTGCTCGTGCTGCTCGACCTGCTCTCCTGCACCCCCCTGCCAAGACGGAGAACAAGACACGGCCGAGGTCCAGCAAAACAGCGCTTAGGTCCAGACCTGCAGTATCCGAAACGACGATGGTTGGGGCCCTGGGACGTGCTTGGCGTCGCGCCAAAGCGTGGCGGGCCGGGACTGGCGGCGCGACACGCCAAGCAGCGTTCCTGATTGTATATGTCGTGCCTACCCAATATTTACCCGCGACGTGGACTCCTGGAGGTTTAGACATTTTAAGACCGCCTTCCCTGGGACCGCCTTTTCATCCCGACGCGTTTTTTCACGGTCCAGGGGCCTGGCGAAGGCCCCCGGAGGCCGAGCCCCCCCAAGCGCGGCGGCAGTCTCGCACGACAAGCGCCACTCTGCCCCCCGCACCGGCGGCGCTCGGAGGGGGGCAGAAACCGCTGAACAGGCGAAGGCTGGCGGGCCCGCTGGTCGATGGAGCACCCTACCTCTGGAGCAGTCCCACTGCAAAAAAAAGTTGGCGCTCGTGGGATGCCGCGACCTGTTGGCACCGCAGTGGCACCGCGCTCACGCTGATCCGCAGCGGCCCCAGCGGCACACCCGTGAGCGAGGCACCCGTGAGAACGGCACCCAGGGGGAGAACGCGGTGCCCCTACGCCTCACGCCCCCTTTCAAGACTGGCAGGCCCCCCTGGCCCCAGGGGGGGCCCAAGTAGGCCCCGAAAGAAGAGGTAAGACGTCCGAGGCCGCGTGGCGTGGGCCAATGCCAGGGGGGTCACCAGCGTGGCCGCGACTTCCTCGAGGCAACGCCGTTTCCTTCAGAAGGTGGGCCCCCAAGAACACTCCAGAGCCCCACAAACGACCCCCCGCGTGGTGACCCCCGTAGTGCTGACCTCCTTAGTGGTGACCCCTCTGGCTGGCCACAGCTCCGGCAATCGCACCAGGCTGCTTTCGTCGCTGGGCGTGCTCCAGGCGCTCCACTGCCCCGCGGGCTTTAGGCTCCCTCAGAGCAGACCTCTGCGTTCGGCATCAGCTGCGAGGCCCCAGCATCGAATACCCGGTCAAGCTACTACCACGAGGAACGTCAGATAATAGGGGAACGAACAATGACATCAACATAAAAACTCGGAGGTCCGCGCGGATTTCTCGGATCGGCGCTGGACCCCCCTCCCAGGCGCGCGGAGCGCGCCAGGGGCGGCGCCAGAGGCGCCGCCAGGCGGGCCCAGCGGATCCGAGAAATCCGTGCGGACCTATCCGCGCGGACCTCCGAGTGTTTATGTCTGTGTCATTGTTCGTTCCCCTGGGTACTTAGCGACGCCCCTCTTGGGCCCCAGGAGCGCTTGGGTGCGCGAGGAGCGCTGGAGGCACCGCCGCGGAAGGACCGCCGGGGACCGCGAGCCCCTCCCGAGCCCGAGCTGCCCCCTCCTGCTGCAAGCGTCTCGGCTGCGCGGCCGCCGCTGGGCCAGGACTCCCGCGAGCAGGCTGCCGCCGCGCCGAGAACCTGCCGCAGGGCCGCTGCCGCTCTCGAGGCCGATCCCCCAGAGGCCTCCCTATCCCTGGCGCGCGGAGCGCGCCAGGGGCGGCGCCGGAGGCGCCGCCAGGGGGGGTCCGGCGCAGACTCGAGAAATCCGCGCGGGCCTCCGAGCTCTTATGTTGATGTCGTTGTGTAGCTCCCTGCTCCCAAGGCACCACCCTGGCAGGTCTGTCGGAGCGGCGCCTGGCCGCGGCCACGAGGAGAGACCTCCCGCCCCACAAAACCCAACAGAAAGGCTCGAACCTTCATCCAACCACAGAGGAATGGTATACGCCAGCGTGGACCCCAGAGTATGCATTATTGCAGTGTCGACGTGCAGGGTATGTGGTGCAAAATGTGGTACCAGCTGTGTGGTACTGTATGGGTCGTGCAAGCTATGTGATGCAAGTTATGCGGTGCAGCCTATGTGGTGCAAGCTATGCGGTGCAGCAACCTATGCGGTGTGAGGTATGTGGTGCAAGCTGTGCGGTGCAAGCGCAAGCTATGGGGTATGAAATATGTGTAAAAGATGTGGACCATGGTATGTGGGAACAGCCACGTGGTGCTAGCTAGGCGGTGCAAGCCATGCGGCCCAAACTTTTCCTCTCCCACACTCCTGTGCTGCCCCTGCTCCAAACAGCGGCGACAGCCAAGAACCACGGGCAATGGAGCCCCTGGCGCGAGGAACGAAAAGGGGATGGGATCCGTGCCGGGAGAGCTCCAGGCTCTCTGCTCCGGGCCTCCGGCTCGCCCGGGCCACGGCAGGGGCGCGCGCCAGTGCGC